CTTAATAATAATAAATAATAATAATAAAATAATATATACATCTTCATGAGACTGCATTCAATTTGTTAACAAAATGCACATAAGTAGTTCATCAATTCACTTTCACGTACGTACAAGATCAATCAATGAAATAAAACCTTGAGGGAAGAAAAGATATTTAAGGACAGATGATACAATTTTTGTTCTTTGGAGGAGACTTAATATCGTGTCACAAGTTTAGAAAAGAGGAGATTTCTTATATTTTTTTTTCTCCTAAGAACTAGAAAATAAAATAAAATTGGGAAATAACTGTCTGTCTGCAAAAACTTTTCACATTGGCCATACCATTTTAGTGGTTGAAAGTATGTCTTTCATATTTTCACAGACCTGTGTAATCATTGTGACAAGACCTTTCTGCCGGAACACTAAACTTAACGTATCCTTTGAATTGAACTTTGAGTATGACTCACTTTTAAGAAAGTTCCAAAACTTGAATGTTGGCCATAACTTTTGATGCTAGAGCTCTCATACTTCACTTGTGTATTTACTGTGACAAGACCTTTCAAATGGATATCAATTAAAATATTTGACCTTGAACTTCTAGTTTGACCTTTTTGGACTTTTGAGCTGATAGTAGGGTGTCTTCCTACTTAGCCAAAATTATGAAAATGTTACAGGTGACTGGTTTTGGCTAGATGGGAATGGTGTACAGGTAAGGGGAGGGGGAGAACAAAAGAAATTAATTACAGGTGACCTATGGTCTGTTTAATTTAACAGTAACCACTTAATGCCATTTTTAGCTCACCTCAACGAAGTTGGGGGGAGCTTATGTGATACCCTCGGCGTCGGCGTCTGTGTCGGCGTCGGCGTCGGCGTCCCAGGTTAAGGTTAAGTTTTTTGGGGCAGTTTTCCTTTTAAGTACATCTATATCCTATATTGATTAGACAAGCATGGAAGATGCTTTTAGTGTCTTTCATTGTACCAGTCCAAGATTCAGATGCTGCAGTTTAAACAAAGAAATGACCAGATTAATGTTTTTTGGAGCAGGTTAACATTTTTGGTGCAGTTTTTAGTGTAGGTTTCATTTCCAAGTAACTATAAGCCCTATGTCGACCAAACTTGCATGGATGATACATCTAAGGATGCATACTACCGGGCTTGCTTCGGATGCTGAATCTGACCTACATTTTCCGGTTGAGTGAACAGGTTAAAGGTTTTGGTCAGGTTTTATTTCCAATTAACTATAAGTCTTATGTTGACCAAACTTGCATGGATGATACATCTAAGGATGCATACTACCAGGCTTGCTTCGGATGCTGAATCTGACCTACATTTTATAGATGAGTGAACAGGTTAAAGTTTTTGGTGCAGGTTTCATTTCCAAGTATCTATAAGTCCTATGTTGACCAAACTTGCATGGATGATACATCTAAGGATGGATACTACCAGGCTTGCTTTGGATGCTGAATCTGACCTACATTTTCCGGTTGAGTGAACAGATTAAAGTTTTTGGTGCAGGTTTCATTTCCAAGTAACTATAAGCCCTATGTTGACCAAACTTGCATGGATGATACATCTTAGGATGGACACTACCAGGCTTGCTTCGGATGCTGAATCTGACCTACATTTTCTGCTTGAGTGAACAGGTAAAAGTTTTTGGTGCAGGTTTCATTTCCAAGTAACTATAAGCCCTATGTTGACCAAACTTGCATGGATGATACGTCTAAGGATGCATACTACCGGGCTTGCTTCGGATGCTGAATCTGACCTACATTTTCCGGTTGAGTGAACAGGTTAAAGTTTTTGGTGCAGGTTTTATTTCTAAGTAACTATAAGCCTATGTTGACCAAACTTGCATGGATGATACATCTAAGGATGCATACTACTGAGCTTGCTTCGGATGCTGAATCTGACCTACATTTTCTTCTTGAGTGAACAGGTTAAATTTTTTTGTGCAGGTTTCATTTGCAAGTAACTTTAAGCCCTATATTGACCAATTTCCATGGATGATACATCTAAGGATGCACACTACCAGGCTTGCTTCAGATGCTGAATCTGACCTACATTTTCTGCTTGAGTGAACAGATTAAAGTTTTTGGTGCAGGTTTCATTTCCAAGTAACTATAAGTCCTATGTTGACCAAACTTTCAAGGATGATACATCTAAGGATGCATACTACTAGGCTTGCTTCGGATGCTGAATCTGACCTCCTTTTTGTGGATGAGTGAAAATGTTAGTTTTTGATGCATGTTTCATTTCCAATTAACTATGAGCCCTATAATGAGCAAACTTGCATGGACGATGCACAATAATGGTCTTGCTTCGGATGCTGAATTCGACATACATTTTTCAGATAATAGACCAGGTAAAAGTTATGGTTGCAGGTCTATTTCCAAAAAACCATAAGGCTTATATAACATTGTATAAATCAAACTTGCACAAATGTTGCATCAAGAGATGAAAACTTTCAAATTTGCTTCAGATGCTGGATTTTGATTACATTTTCATGAAGAACTAGATTAAATTTTTTATGTAGGTCTATTTCAAAGTATCAGATCAAAATTGCTTAAATATTTTCATTTTTTGAATGTACACTTTTTGTTGGTTAATTGTGTGACTTTGCCTTACTTTCGTTGAGTATGTTGTTTACCAACATTCGTTGAGGTGAGCTCTGTAATCTCTGATAACCTATGTTTTCTAAAGTATTTTTCTAAAATTAATTATTATTAATTAATAATTCTATTATAAATCAAGTATTTATTATATGTATTTTGATATTGAACTTGTACACCACAGGTAAGAAGTACAGGCAATAAAACAGACTATACACAGGTGACCTCTCAGGTGTGAAAATCCCTATTTTGGCTAGATGGGAATAAGAAATTCAGAATTTTGGCTAAGTGGGGATAAACCAATAGTAGTAGGGCTTTCATATTTCACAGGTTTATTCTTTGTGACAAGACTTTTCTTGGATATCAACAATTTTGACCTCTGACCTTGACTTTTAAGTTTGACTTGCACTCGGTAAACTTCAACCATAATTTAATCTGGCATACAGGGGTATCAATATTTCACAAACACATCTTTTTTTCTGAGTTTACTCACAAATCAATGCTATTCAAAGATTTTTAGGTATAGAATTACAACGTAGCTATTTGAGGGTATAGTGAAAAAATATATTGAAAGATGAAGGTTATGAATACTCAAAAAAGATTATAGTTATTTAGCATTTATATTTAAGTTATACAGAGAATTAAATAGGATTATTATGGGGATAATAATAATGTTTAGGAAAAAAATGTATTTTCCCTTATTCCATGCATTTAATATTTTCTTTTTCTTTACAGATAAAAAAGAAGTGGGGAAGAATGAATGTTTACATACTCGACATTAAATTTGGCTTAAATCTGAATATGTCTTTTGTTGTGATTTCTTAAAGAGCAAATAAGACCTTTCTGCAAACTTTCTCCTTTATTGTACATTCTTATAGTCAGCATTCTGGTTGATTTAACTGATTGTTCTAATTTCTACAATTATTTGTATAAACAATAATGTAGCAGTATGTATGTCTGCATATTGAGTTAATCTAAAATACTGCACAAGTAATTTATTCTACAAAAACTGTTGGACACTTCTAATTCAACCTGTTGTGTTAGTCATGTACATGTATCATGTAGGGAGAGGGCGATTTAATTTTTAGAACTTGTGCTCAATCCCATTGTAAACTAGTATATTGTGTATATTTAATGTATTAAAATATGTTCAAACCGTCCCTAGGATGGGTTTTGCTGTCATGGGTACGAAGACCTGGGACATGTGGATAGGGTAATAATGGATATTTTGAGGGACTGGCCCAATTTAAAAAAGTAATATATTAATTATATATATTTTCTAATGAACTTTTGCATTATTTAACGTACATTCAATGAAAGGCCTTCTTATAATGTAGAGTATGTTTATAAAATCTAAATATTTTTATGCAATGTATACTTTCATTGCCTTTAAAAATGCAAAAAAAACCTGTGTGTCATTTATTCTATATACAGAAAAAAGGTTTGAACCAATTCTTATATTAACGTATCCTTATGGCTTTTCAAACAAAATCTGACAGAGCAAACCGTTTTTGAAAACCCTAATGTGGATACAGAATTTTTATTCATTCACGTGCTAAACGTTCGAGAATCATTTAAAGTAATATACGCCGTATGGATGCCGATTTGTATGTGAAACAAAATGATTAAATGATTTGAAACACATAAAGTGTAATGAAAAAATAATATTTCCACAAAATTTAACTGTAAAACTCGTTGTAATAACAGAACAATAAAGCAATATCTGCAATCAAGAATTCAGTCTTTTCATGAATATTGATAAAGGAAGTGCGTAAACAGTAGGTCTAAATATAGAGACGTAAGTCCATGGGAAATTATAGACAACGAGGCACGTTGCATTTTGACAACGATTATTAATAAAAGGTTAATATGCGTCATAACAGAGTATAGATGGTTGATACTGATTACATTTAAAGATAAGTTATATTAATAGTAACACGCCATCCATGTCAAAAGTGTGTTGTATCTCAAAGGGCTTACCTCGTTTTCTTGACGCCGTGTTTGTTTATCAATCTAAAAGTAGCGACGGCGTCACGTGGTGGATTTACTTAAAAATAGACATTATTCTCCTTGCAGGATAATAAATAATTATAATTTGATAACTTTATAACGAATTTTATTTAAATGGTGTAATTTACAGCATTTTCGTAACTTTCATTGGTAAACAAAATACATAAATTTCCAGCCGTATTTTAAAATGGCGCACGTTATAGCGTATATTACTTTAAAAGCAATACAACAATTCAACATGTACATGTACAAAATTATTTTCCGTCTCCACCAATCGTTTCCCTCTTTATTTCCCAATATCTCGTCAATTCAGTGGGATCGATGATATGCCGATTAGTGACTGAATGCAAAGGGCACATCATTTTGCGACCTTTTTTCGGAATCCTTTTTTCCGATAAAAAATGATTCTCGATATCCATTGCAATTGTTTCTACATTCTCCGTTTGACATCTAAAGCCTCTCTCAAACTGTATTTTTCTGTTAAATGTCCCTGCTAAATCAATTAGCATCTCTTCTATCCTTCCTTGAATTCTGCATGTTTGCGCTTTTTCCAAATCATACCCTTCCATCGGATGAAATACTTGGAGTTGTATAGAATCTTTAGTGACAGATAAAACGATATTGTACTCACTATACGAAAACAAAGCAGCGTTTCTGTAGAGACAAGATGTACGATTATTTTCGAGTACTTCCCAATTCTTTATTCGCATACACGCAACAATAAGACGGAAAAACAAGAAAAAAGGCAGAAATTCAAATTGGTAAACAAGCACAGATGATTTACTTTTCGATTTGTTTATGAGATCGAAAAGTTCTTTTTCAATTTCTTTACGATTCATGCACGGAACGTAGTAGGATTCTTTACCAATGGCTACCAAACCAAGCCTTTGCATAAAACTGAGAAGTGATTTCTTATGATACTGAAGATATCGTTCCTTTCCCTCAGTAAACATGGCACTAAAACTGTAGATTTCGTTACCTTTTTTAACCTTGTTAAACAGCTCTTCATCTTTATGTTTCCAAATCTCTTCAAGAAGTCGAACTCGCAAATTTCCTGTTTGGTAATATTCATTCCAGTCACCTTTGGTCATATGGATACCTTTGATATGTAACTTGTCTGTTATTATATGTTTGAAGGCGTCAACAAACCATTGGACGTCAATAATCACTTCTTTTTCCAGACCATTTTCATTAAAATATAAAGCTTTTCCGGCATCATGATAATAACGCAGCATATCTTGTGTTCCCCTTTCAGCTTGATCTGAATCCTCCTTTTCTTTAGCCGTAATCTTCGGTACTTTCGTTGTTATTTCTGAAATCTTCAGGATCCGCTTTGAGTGTTTTTTCTGGTTGATTTCTAATCCAAAGAAGAACCATTCTTTTGGAATATTCTCGCTCCATCGTTTATTGGAGGCTATGTTGAAAAAGCACGTTTTTAAATCATGGAGAGGTAAAGTAATGTCGGTACAATACACGTTTTCGTCTGTGATGTACTGTGGTAAATATGATGTCTCGGGAAACTGTTGGCGCAAGCTCTCATTCAGTTCCTTTTTATCCTTTATTGATAAAAAAAAATATCAAAGTAAATTATAAAGTTATTAAATTTTGACTGTTTTCCCGTTCTGTTTAAAAAACATTATATGGCACTGTGATTTTTATTTTCATTTACATATGTATGTTCCTTATAAATCACCATTTCCCAACTACACAGAATAAATCCTTGAGTGATATATTTTTTGAAACTTTCGATAAAAAAAAATTGGAGAGGGATCTAATTTTATCATAATGATTGTATTATTGACTTTCTAATACTTGCTATAATTATATGCAAATAATCCAAACACATGTTCATGTAATATCGAATTAATCGGTATCTTGATAAAATGTATGTTTTGTTCAATGAAGACTATAACAGATCACTAAAAGATTATAATGCACTGTGTTAAAGATTTTAAATTTTAAATTAAGTTCTTTAAGAATAAAAAAATGATAATGGTACATGTATGTAAATGAAAAATTCATTAGAAAAAAATTGTCACCCTAAAATGTCTGCTTCCTTCCCAATGTGTTGCAACAATTAGAACTACAGGATTTGTATCTTTTTCGTTGTCAGAACCACAGTAGGTATGTATAGATTTTATCCAGAACACAAAGTAGTCTGAAATAAAGATAAGAAAATGTTCCTTTTAAAATTTGTATAACGAAAAGAAATACTTTTTAAAAAGATCAATTTTGGGGGGTTTTCAGTATAGTTTTAAGTCAACTCATTTTTTTCGAGGTTAACATGATACGCATATCACACAAGCAGTACCATCTACCAGACAGTACGAGGGCTGTTCAATAAATAATATCCTCGGTGCTCGGAAAGAAGCAAAAACACTTTTCAATGATTTAGTTTTAATGATTTAACTTAATATTCTCTTTTAAGTGAAACACATGTTCATATTTTTTAATCCAGTTTTTGACTGTTTTTAGAACTCATTTTGGGTATCATCCTTAGTATACTGGAAAATTGCAGATCTTGTGATTTCGTGGACTCGATTCTTCCTTCTGAAGTGTGGTTTTCATGTTTGGAAAATGAAACAAGTCAAAAGGCGAAAGATCTGACAAAAATCGTTAATGTAAAGAATAATTTTCTGTTTATCACAAAAACTCGTTTACTCTTCCGGGCGTTCGGGTTTGGACGCTGTCATGAAGAAATTTAATGTAGTAGATTTCTGATACTGCAGGTTCCTTCCTCTTATTAATCTTTCGACTTTTTTTGCAAAAATTTCTAATTTTTCTAATCTCTTCCAGAAATGAAACTGCCTCGCTGAATACGAATTTTAACAACAACACCACTAATATTAAAAAAACGTGCGAAAACATCTGTATGTATGCTCTTGCTATTCTTTACTTTTCTCAGACCTTCCCTGTTTTTGTCAAGTACATCTTATTGTAAATTTTGTTACAAGGGTTTAAGCAATAGATTTTAGTTTCATTTCAACTACAATCACTCTTTCATAACATAATAGTTAAGATATTCTTACATGCTGTTCTTTTCACTCATTTTTTCAAATCGTGGGGTGACCTTTGAATTCTCATCTTTTTTAATTGTCAAGCGTTAAAGCAATATGAGCTGCCACTTTGATGTCCATATTTTTTGTTGTAAAAAAAAATAAATATTTCAATGACATCAGAAAATAAGGTTGATAAACTTCTGTTATTCATATTTGCTTTAGAAGAACTATTTATAAGCTTCGATTGAATTAAAATTACATTATTGTCGTCATGTACAATAATGATTTATATAATAATGTATTTATGATTGTATATAGAAGTCTATCTTCTGCTTCATTTTAGTCTAATTGATCATAAAGGTTTTAGTTACGTTCAAAGTTACCATAATAACACATTTTAACAGTATTGTTACCCCTAAAATGCAGCTCATATTGCTTAAAATCAGTGTGAACTACTTTCAAATTAATGTCTTTCAAATTTGCTATGTGTCTTACAGTCAATCATGCATCATCAGTTATTATTTTTTGAAATTTGGCAAAAAGCACATTAGTTGTTACATTATTTTGTTGGCAAGGACGGTAACAATTTTTTATGCCAATTCTGTAATTTTTTGATCATTGAAATCCACCTGCTCATTTGTCTATAAACAGACTTTGGTTACCGTAAATATTGCATATTTCAGTGAATATTTCTTTTTGATTCTTAACGAGTTTAACAGCGGCATTAATGAAGCGTTTAATTTCACTCCAATTTACTGATTCTTTACCATTCGCTTTTAATACAATGTCTCGAATAGCCCTTGTTTCCCAGCTTCTCACAATGAAACTATGTGATTAAAAATGGTCTCATCAATTGTTATAAAGTCATTTAAGATTCAATAAGCTTAATGTCATATTAAATATGTATTGTATGTTATACAGTTCAGGACATTATTTATTGAACAACCCTCGTATATATTTCTTCACGAGTGTCCTTCTCTTCTCTAGCACCTATTATACTATTTCTTTTATTGTATAAGCAAATTTTCTTCAACAGATGAAATCTATGTATTTTCATTGTAGGTATGAGTAAACTATGAGTTTAATTTTCGTCGTTTTCAAAGTATGAAGAGACCCACGAATTAATATCCACCAATAAATGCAATTTTTCACATACATTGCTGATCTACAATTTTTCAACAACGAAATCTAATCCCAATGAACCGATGTATTTTCCTCAAACCACGAAAGTTTGACTCCTCAAAAATATATGATTTTACAGTAATTAAATTAAAGGATTTTTTAATAGAATTTGATGTAAACATTATGATGTTAAGTTCATTACATTATGAATATCCGCGAAAACATGGCTGAAAATTGTTGACTGCGAGTTAGACAAAATACATTAATTATACATTGTGTTCCAAAACTGAGACCATTATGATGCAAGTATACATCTTTGTTCTTACAAATAAATTTCTTGCATTAATGAGATGTGCTTGAATTTTTTTTTTTCTGTATGATCCCTGAACATGTACATGTATTAATGGTAAAAGCTTACAAAAGAAACAATTACATGTATAAAAGACAGATACATGTATACAAAATTACAGATTAAAGATTTAATGTTAACATGAAAACTTTTAAGCTTGTATATATTGTTGCAAAAAATGTGGAGAGTGCATGCATGTGAATACAAGAACAAAACTTCTACACCAAAAAGTAAAAATAAAAGTAATTTCAATGCATTTATTTTTTTTGTGCACTAAATTAAAAAAAATGCATAAAATTACATGTAAATCAAAATAGCTCGAAACCCCTCAGCTACATCCTACGAAAAAAAAAATTGTCTGAATTGATACAATTAAATGTCTCGTTGTTAATAAAAATAAAAAAAATGAAATAAATAATAGAATTCTTAAAAGGTGTAATCTTGTTTTTACTGTAAATTTTTGTTCCATTTTTTCTTGATTTTATGTATTTATAACTGCAATCTAAATAATTTAATTAGATGTTCCGAATCCGCTATCGCTTCTCAAACGTAGAACATCTAGATTGTTATAACTGATGAGTGCATAATTTTTGTAATAGAATGAATGCAATAATCGGGAAATATTTCTATTTCCCATTGTTTTCCCTATGATAAACACTACAAAAGTGAATCTTGTTACTTTCGCTGTGATGCCTGTAAGTGGCATGAAAATTTCTTTATTGAAATACTACTGAAAGGTCATATGTCAAACTTGCATGTTTATGACTAACGTATCAATACAATGAAGAATAAGAAGATGTTTTGTTTAATATTTAACTAAGTAATTAGATATGATATATCTTTTTACAAACAAAATAAAAAATGAATTATCTTCGGATCAAAAGCAAGTCACTAGCGTGCAACGCTTTCTATTATCACTGAAAACTCGCGAGACCGAGAACTTCACTGCCTTAAACAGCCAATCTAAACCACGTGGGGAAATCAGCATTGCCACATAGATCATCCGATACAGACATCGTTCCTCTGTCATTACCATATGCATCCAACTTCTTATGCAATTCAACGTCCTCTGTTTTTTTTAACACACACAATTCTGTTTCCTGACCATACTGACGAACTACTGTTTCATCAACTGCAACATTGCATTCAATATAAGGCGGCGGAGAAGTGACTTGGGTCTATACACGTGTTCGTGCTTACGACAACCTAAATCTAGGTCACATATATAATTAAAGTTAGCGGATTGCTTTGATCGTAATATGAACTTCTTTTGTTGGTTATTTTATAAATGTTGATATTTGACTGCAGTATAACTAACGACATGTATTCATTAAATTTGTTGCGTGTTTGTATGGGACTGTTATTTTATAGTAAAACTTGACGTCATGGGGCGGGGCAATGGAAAATAACATGGAATGCCTCGTGCATTTCAAATTTACTAAATTAGACTGTATTTCGATTGTTATTTCAAAGTAAAAAATGGAAATATAAAGAACTGTCTAGTTTTTAGAGTATGTCAGGGACATCAACAATAGTGGGAAACATGGAATAATTTTAGCATAACGGGCCTCCCCCGTTATGCAAATTATCCCATGTTTCCCACTATTGTTGATGCCCTGGCATTCTCTCAAAACTAGACAGTAATTCCTTTATTATTTACCTTTTCAATGTTTTTGTCCGAGATAAAATTACAAATAGTTAAAGTACTTTATTTCTACATTAATGTACTGGTTCATCAATAGGCGTAGTTGAAAATCACGTGCTGGGCGTGACAAATAGAGAGACAGAAGCGGGGCTTGTAGCAGGTGCATTGGCGGAATAAAGAGCATGAATAAATGTCATTTCTTTCAATTTCATGACAATGATCAATCGATTGGCTTGCGTATTTTATACATAAGCGTTTATGCAAATTACCACGCAAGCCAATCGATTGATTACATAATGAAATCGAAAGATTAGACACTTATTCCTTAAATAAATGTAATAAGAAAACTAGTCGACAATTGAGTGTGTAAAAATTGACTTTAAGAGATTTCATAACATGCATGTTGATATGCATTGTTTTTTTTTTTTTATCATTATCATGATTATAAACCTACATTGTAATTGATAATCTGCTTTCGGATCACGTCTTGAAATCAAAAGTAGAACACGAAAAATTGGAGAACAAAGGATGACTTCACTTATAAAAGATAATGCAAAATATGTGTCAAAATAAACTTTCAAAACAGATGTTTTTCTTTTAATTAAAGGAATGATCAACATCTAATCCACAACTTTACTTAATTACATTAAAATAAAAGTGTGTATTTACGATGTACAAATCTGTTTTTTTAAGGCGAGAGTCATCACATTTTCTTCAATCTCATTTCCTCCATTCGATAATGAGGACGCCCATTATTTTACTGGCTTTATACATAGTCAGCTCATGAAAGTCTATTGTTCTCCTTTAATAGTACAAATGTTGTTGTTTATTTGCATTTGGTAATGTGTTAAAAGATTAATAGACAAACATGAGCTCATGGTTAAAAGAGAAAAAATGCTTCTTCTTACCCTCGCTCTCTCCGTTTTAACCAAGGGCTGTTACACGTTTAATATTGTAATTCACCAAGTGATATCTTTCTTTGGGTAATTTTGTAGATATTAACGTCACGTGACTTACATGTAGTATGTTTAAGGAATGAAGCTTATTTCAACTTTTGTTATACGATATATCGTAACTTGGCTAAGCGGTTTATAAAAAAAGCGTAAACAGTCTCATGTTATGTAATACCGTATAACAAAATGTTAAAATAAACTTCATTCTTATAATTAAATTTTAATGTAGACAATGAGACAATTTTTCTGTTTTTTTTTAATTCGGAAAAAGGCTTCCATCATCGCAAATTTTAGAAGTTAACGTCAAGAGGAGTAATGAGTTGTTTACGTTACTTATTGTGCCGTAGGAAAGTTATACAAAATGGATAAAATCGTTTAACCAATCAAATGACTTGTTACAACTAAAATTAAATCATTTTGTGCTAACTGAGACATTGTGCTCGAACTTGTTAAATAGTCAGCCATCGATTGAGGTATTATTTGCATATACGTACATGGATGGGCTCATGCATTTTAAAGCTTTGTAAATATCATGAACGTGTACCATACAGAATAAATAGGAAGATGAAAAATAGTGATATCCTTTTTTTTTAAATACATGTCATTTTTATTCATCCAGTCTAACTTTAGATTCATTCTGATCATGACGAGCTCCTCCTCCCATAAGGACAGGTAAGTGTAAATCTCTATATTTGGAAAATTTAATGACAAAAAACACGAAATTAATTATTGCATTAAAGTCTAAACTCAATTTTAAGATTCAAATTGGATGTCAAATTGACAGACTTCTCTTACAGTAGTAAATGTATAAAGGTGAAATTAAGTTACGATCTAAATTCTTTAGAAGCGACCGAAAAGGCCCAAAACACAGCGTTAAGTGCAGTAATCCTTCATGAACTGATCAGTTATATATCTGTACGGCAAATCGTAAATACAACTCTTGAGGTTTTGTCCGGTGCACATAGCCATTAGAACAAAAGAAATATTTTTTTCTTCAAAAAAGTATTTTTATACGGTACATTTTAAAAAAAAAATAAAAAAAATATATATTCAATAAGGAAGACAGATTTTTTTTATACCTCCATAGGTCCATCCGGAGAATACACTTCCATCTTGATCGCACACTTTCTTATCCACCTTCTGGTCAAGACGTTTAGAGGCGTCCACCACCACGACATAGAAAGCTCTCCTGGTCAGGTAAATCTGGTGACAGGCGTAGTACGCACACTGGCCCCCGAAGTCAAAGAATGTCAGAGTCTTAGGGTCAACAATTGTAGTATTTTCTGTCTCACAATTCTCCTGACTTTTCCTTGCTAAAAAGAGTCATCAGATATCTCACATTCTATCATTTTTTTCAAAATATAATACATGATAGAAGCAATAAAATGGTACTTTTTGACATTTTTTTTATTCAAAGCATTAAAGACAAATTTAATTTATGTTTACTTTTGATTAACCAAGTGCTAAAATTACAATGCTGAAAGTAATTTATGTGCATGGATACGTACAAAGCATCAATTCTACTGTCGACAAAACTGTCCACTTAGATTATATCTGTAATTCTAGTTGTTTAAAAATCAGATTGCATTGATTTACATTGATTTGCAATGTCTTCAAAAAAGACAATCGAGGGTGTTTAGTTTTATTACAAAATATTGAGGGAGAAAGTAAGGAAAAGGTATGTCATATTTTTTGTGTGCAAGAATTTTTTTTTCATTTTCCTCTCTCAGACTAAGTACATGTAGCATCACTTATATATTTTTTTTACCTTTCAATGATCTTGTTTCATCACATATTTCAAATATTTCCTCATGCACTTCCAATCCTTCAGTAGATTTTACTTCATTAATCTCTTCTTCACTACACCCGAGAAGACGTTTAAGTAGCGTGGTTTTCCCCGCCCCAGCACATCCTACAATCATCCCCCGGGCGTGGTGGACTGTCTGTGTTCCTCTCTTAGCGTACTCCACATACCGCTCTCTGGCCTCCTGGTCCCACTGTAGTACTTCTCCAGGGACTCCAACTGTACAATGTGAAAGAAGAAACAAGCTACGCATTTCTTTTTACTTCAGTTTCATGGGAAAAAACTTGACAGACATGGGTCAGCTGTCATAAAACTTTGAGAATTCTCAACAGAAATTTTCAACTCAACTCTTGAGAATTACTCAGCTGAGAATTTGAGAATAAAAGAGTTTAAGGAATTTTTATTTTTCTCAACTTTTTATGAAGGCTTCTGAGTCTGAGAATTTTGGATTTAAGAAAATTTTCAGACTTGAGAGCATTCTCAGACTTAAGTATGTTTTATAATGATGGACCCTGTACCTCCTAAATGGTGGTGGTCCTTCGGATGAGACCGTATGAACCGAGGCCCTGTGTCGCAGTAAGGGCTGGCACGAAAAAGACCCCCCCCCCTCCCTGTTAAAGGCCCCAAGTGTCGAGTATAGGACAAAATTTGCAGCTCTCCACCGGCAAATGGTGGCGTCTCCATATGAGTGAAAATTCTCGAGAGGGGCATTAAACAATATACAATCAATCAATTATTCAATGTAAATGGAGGTAATATTACTAGAACCTCGAAAAAAAAAATATATTGACTTCCTTTAACATTCTTGATAACTTCATTTTTATGGTGTTCTGATCGATTCATTTACATGTACATGAATTCAACTAAATTGTAACATCATTTTACTAGAATTTATACATAGATACGCATTGCTTTCAGTAGTGTTTTATATATAATATACATGGTTACTGTCTTGAAATATATGCGATATTTGGGTGAGGGTATTACTAAGAAAACGTGATAAAGGGCGAGGCTTGTCGAGCCCTCTTATGTTTTCGACCCGAGTCCAAATTTCGCTTATACTTCAAGACAGTTATCATGCATTTTGTTTATCCTGCAACATAATTTAACATTTGAACGTCCAAAACAAGCTATTTCCGACAGATTTAGGCACATCTCTGCAGTTGAAACTATGATGCCATGGCGTAAACATATCAATATTCATGAACACGTGTGTGTTTTTTAAATCAAGTTTTCAATTTCATTTTATAAGGCCTACAGTTAAACGCCTGTAGTTATCCGAAAACTCTTTTATTTGACGTTTTGTTTAATTTTTACACCATGTACTGGTTTACCAAATAAAAAAATTTAACAATGACACATAAAGTGAGACAAAAATAAAAAAAAATAACTATAACAAATAAATTGAGACAAAAAAAAATTGTTTAACATTTTAAAAAAAATTATATCAGTCGAGAAAATCTAGACGACCGACGTGTTATTTAATAATCCAATTTTACAGCATGGATATTAATCTATTTTATAATCTATATAGTGGTATACTTAAAATAATGAATAAATACGCTTTATTGTTCTTTATCTGATTTTAATTACAATTCACATTGGCCTTTATACATATGAACAGCCCACCTCCCGAGAAAATCATTTTATGCATTTAAAAAAGTAAATAATAAAAAAGAAAAACATGACATAGTTTCATGTATTTTATAACTTTTGAGTAGGAAAAATTTAACAAATTCTTATTATCTTAGAGTGTGCTGCAATTTTAAACACGATTATCGTTTGATGAAATGATTCAACACGTATGTGAAATCTACGAAAGACGAATAGGGCCACATAAAAAAATATTTCTATCTCGTAATTACGAGAAAAGATCTCGTTATAACGAGAAAAGATCTCGTTATTACGAGTTAAATATCTCGTTATAACGAGAAAAGATCTCGTAATAACGAGAAAAGATCTCGTTATTACGAGTTAATTATCTCGTAATTACGAGAAAAGATCTCGTTATTTCGAGTTAATGATCTCGTTATTACGAGAAAAGATCTCGAAATAACGAGAAAAGATCTCGTTATTACGAGTTAATTATCTCGTAATTGCGAGAAAAGATCTCGTTATAACGAGTTAATTATCTCGTTATAATGAGAAAAGATCTCGTTATTACGAGTTAATTATCTCGTAATTACGATAAAAGATCTCGTAATTACGATAAAAGATCTCGTTATAACGAGTTAATTATCTCGTTATAACGAGAAAAAATCTCGTTATTACGAGTTATTTATCTCGAAATTACGAGTTAATTATCTCGTTATACACCCATTCTCAATATAAGGGCTCAAATAATGTCGCCTCATTTTCATTTGAAAGAAATACCACTGATGTAATTTTTAAATCAATATTATAAATAGTCATATAACAATGAATAAGAATTCATATAATTATCGATCCTGAAAGGGTATTTAAGGAGTTCCAAATTCAAATATAGTAGCCTATTTGAAATGTACGTTACTGTCGCCGAGGAAAATATTATTCTGAATCCCCTCTGTATAATATATAGTTTTGATTCTCAAGTAAAAATTTTCTGATAAGTTAAACCTTGTATCATATATATTTCTTTTCATAACAATAAATACATTTTCTTTGTGATAATAAATAATTTTTATTGTGCAATGTCCCTGTCGCTTAATTCTATTTCAACCACATTACAAGCAAACATAAAGATTATACACCTGATAGTTTTGTTCTCCTTTATTTATTGATGGGCTAAATTTGAAATTTCAAAGGATTAATTAATCCTACTTAGATAATGTAACATGAAATCGAACAACTTGAGCAACTTTTTTAAATATGTTTACGGAATGAAAGACATTTTCAATCGTAGACATAAGAAAGAAATGTACGTTACCTACATTCTTCCATTAAGAATACATATTAAGTAGAGAATATGAGATGACTCTGAATAAGCAACCCCTTGTATCCTGTAAACTGGCAAAGACGTTTTGCTTAACACAATTAAAAATTATTTTTTTTATGAAAAGTGATCATTTGAAATGTACGTGACTGAAATGTACGTTACCATGAAATGCGAATTAAGTGAATCTCGCACGAATTTTCATGTATTCTAATACTGTCACACACTCGAATGTGTACACAAAGGAAAGTTTCAAAGGTTGGAGGTCGGCTAAATCCCAAAATTAATAAAAAGAAACGTCTCTGCTGAGGAAAAAAATATTAAGGTCAATTATTACGTAATATAATTTTGATATCTGGTATATATTTCTGAATACGAAACCTGTATGATGCATTTCTTATGATATGCAGGTTCAAATAGTATCAATATATTGCGTGTCTAACGTATGCTTGTGATAGAGAATTGATTTTTATATTTGAAATGTACGTTACGTATGGTAACGTACATTTTATGTATTTCTAACTGACATTTTTTTTAATTTAGTCAATGAATTGCGTTTACACGAGCGAAACAAAATTATCGTCACAATCCATTTGACAACTGGCCACATAAATCCACCTAAATGCACCCCCAATCCTCGTAAATGTTTTAAACTGTTACCACATGCTAGAAAATTTATTTCCAAGTGTCTTAAATTCATCTTTGGCAACCTTTTAGCAGTTTGTTTACTTTTCATCTGCGACTTTTCGTCAATATTAATTGATTTGTTGTTGATAATTTAAAACAAGGTATGCATAGGCTTATAATTGTTAAAAAAACAAACCAAAAAAAAAAAAAAAAAAAAAAAATAGAAACAAAAAAAATAAACCCAGAACAAAAGACGGTCACGTACATTTCAAATACTGAATACTCAGTTTTGTTTGAATCATTGCATTTTGGGTTATATTTTTCCAGATCTGCTGAAAAGCACGTATGTTTGTGTTTTGAAAAACGATGTTGCAACATACTAAATGAAATTGTTAACAAGACTGTCGATGGATATATTCGGAATAGATTTATGTAAAGTTTCAATGACCAAACACGAACATTTGTTAGATCATAGCAAAATACATCTGACTCTTATATTTTTTTGTCTGTACCCTTGCACACAGTTAGAAGTAACTAGGCTACGAACGGTGTCAATTTCAGCGAAACAGCACAAAAGAATGGTAATGAACTGAGGTGGAGGGGACTCCCCAATAATATGTGAAATGAACGTTACCGAAGTGACGTGACAGTCATGTAGTTGACGACAATAACCTTGTTTGTTACATTATGATTTCTTATATTAATGCCTTAAAACGCTTCATTGATATGATTTTTATGTCAATAATTGCTTTTTTCAATATTTTTTATTACTATTTTACATATTATTACAAGCTTGAAATGTACGTTACCTACTCATATTCTGAGGCAATCGTGTCTTTATAATGGTGATTGTGAAATATAACACAATGTGATTACATAGAGAATCTTTTTGGGAATAAACTGAAACAAAACGATGAATTTTTAAATGAATTTTAGATGAATTTTAAGCTTTTTATTAAACAGAAATATATCTTGAAATGTACGTTACATTTACATAGTTTTCTAAATCGGCATGGATATATGTTAAAAAAGACAGAAACTACAAAATATAATTTTACTACATGTACATGTAAGGTTCCAGTATCTATTAAAAATGACAAGATTCCAAACTGATCGCTCTTAACAAAACAGAGAGAAGAATTTAAAGCATATATTTAAAAAATGTTTTTATACATCTGGATCAAAAAGTAATCTTTGTTTTTTGAAAGGAAAAATCAAACGCACGTTCGTATGCCGCGAAAATATTTTGCTGACAGAGTTGGTAGGATGTGCTGGTGTTAAGATGAGATATTCCAATTCTGATTTTAATGACTATATTTTTTTTGACATATTTTTTAAGACATTGAAGAAAGAGTAACGTACATTTCAAGCTACATTTCTGAATAAAATCACCCTCTACTTCATCGTCTTGTCATTATTCCATGTATTATAATTTGATGAAAATAATCTGGAAACAAAATCTTCAGATACTTTCTTTCAAAGGTAATTGATAGAAAAATTGTTATCTTGAACTTCATTTTTTAAAAAATCAGAGAGGCATTTGTGCCCTTATATTGAGAATGGGTGATAACGAGAAAAGATCTCGTAATTACGAGAAAAGATCTCGTTATTACGAGTTAATTATCTCGTAATTACGAGAAAAGATCTCGTTATTACGAGTTAATGATCTCGTATTTACGAG